CTCCAGCAGTCTAAGCCTATAGCAGCATAACCTATAGCAACATTGTTCAATTTTTCAAAAACATATTTTGTTTTAACTGCAATTTGATTTTGCAATTTCATTGTCATATTGTTTTATTTAAGTTCTATTTATTCTCTGATTTAAATTAGGTCTTCAATCAAAGAACAAGCCATTGTTTCCTAACAGCTGATTGGCTGCTGGTTGGAGCATTTCTAGGACTTAATCCTGAGATCTATCCTGCAACGGATCTGTTCACCTGGAGGGTCAGAGCTCGGTTCTGTAGGACATTAGAGGGCGATGATGGAACTGGATGCTCCGTCACCTTGGTGAGCGGTGACCAAACAGGAAGTCATCTATGAACAGGAAACAGGCCTCCTGCCCTCTTCCTGTTTGCCAGCTGACCTCTGACCTCATCGCTGTTGCTGAGGCGGTTCTGTCACTTTCACCTTCTGACGGTCGGACTAAATCTGAGCGCTACAGGAAGGGAGGAAGTCCCGTGTTGATCGGAGTAACCTGCTGAATCTGCAGCTTTTTTCCATGAAGATGAAGGAACTTATGGTGGATCAGAGTCGGGTTTATCTGCTTGGATTGTCTGAACATAACGTTCTGATGAAATAACCTGATTATTTTATCCTGAGAGCTTCCTTGATGGAAAGCGAAACATCTTCAAACTTGGAAAATAAAGTCCATTTGTTTGTTTTTAACTTTTCTTTGGAATGACTATGACCTGGATGACTGAGAATCTTCACCAGCATTCTGTCAAGATGAGAGGCTGAGTGAACATTAATGAGAAATAAAATGAACTTTATTGATTTTAGCTGCAATAATATAAAGAGTGAAAATTGAATTCTTTCCATACCCACTGGAACTCTTTGGCATTTTTGATGTCTCCATTTGGCCCAAATGATTGGCTGTAACACCCTTTGTGTCAGTTACAGCGCCCCCTTTTGCCCTTAGAGTGATTTACTGCAGATTGATTCACCTCTTCGATGTTTTTTGATGCTTGATGCTTATGGTCCAAATGTTCTGAGTCGCACTGAAAACGCAGCTTCAGTGGGCTGTGGGCCACTGATCCTTTGGGCGGCGGTGTCTCTATTGGCCGCTCATTTCCTCAACCATTCAATCATTTCACCCTGTGTATATAGGCACTGTTATAAGCTAGAAGTAGGTATACTGGTGAAGATTCTCTGTCATCCAGGTTATAGTCATTCCAAGAAAGTTTAAATCAATCCACTGGACTTTGTTTCCAAGTTTGAAGATGTTTTGCTTCCCATCCAGGAAGCTTTTTCAATTCAAAATGTCAGAAATGGCGTTGAGTTTGAGGTTTCTTACAGCAGCCCAACAAAGCCTGGTTTTAGTTTAGAAAACATGCAAATAGAAACGGATGAACGGGTCCCCCCCTTTGGAATGGGGGTCGTTTGGCTTCTTCGTTAGAAGAGAAAATCAAAATAAGACGGAAAAAAACAGAAAATAGTGGCTGACCCTCCTGTTCTATATATTTACAGATTTAATTGACTAAATCAGTCTCAAATCCGGATGCTTTGTGTGACATTTTCAGACGGTTAATTCAGACAGAAACGCCAAGCTTTCCTCAGAGACACCCAGCATGTTAGAGCTGTTGGCGGTTTAGCTCCAGGACGTTCTCCATTAGACCCAACATTAGTAGTTCCCTCTGCATGATGTCTGAGGGACGCTTATGTTATACGCTGCTGAAGATTCTAGGTCATCCAGGTCATAGTCATTCCAATAAAAGTAAAATCAATCCACTTAACTTTGTTTCCAAGTTTGAAGACGTTTCTCTTCCATCCAGAAAGCTTTTTCAACTCAAAATGTCAGAAATAGCGTTTAGTTCCAGGTTTTATCCAGCAGCCCAACAAAACCTGGTTTTAGTTTAGAAAACATGCAAATAGAAACGGATGAACGGGTCCACCCCTTTGGAATGGGGGTCGTTTGGCTTCTTTGTTAGCCTGCAATGCCCCATACCTGTCTATGTCTCTGAAAGGGGGGTCGTTAAAGGGAATAGTTGGCCTGGCTGAATAGGTGAGGTCTTCTGTTCCCTTTTAAAGGGATTGGGGCTGCGAAGGTAGCCGGATTTAAGGTTGTTTTTTTTCTTTCTTAACATAGATGGCTTCCTTCACGCCCCTCTCAAACCACCTGTCTTCTTTGTCCAAAATGTGAACATTCTGGTCCTCCACAGGCTGTCCTTTGTCCATCAGGTGTAGATGCAGAGTCTTGTCCAGAGGAGGGCGCTCTTGTGTGTTGGGCCATGCGTCTGTGGAGAGGTTGTTTGGTTTCTCCAATATAAAGTTAATGGCATTCTTCAGTGCATTGAACTGCAGACACCACTCTGCTCAGATTGAGTCTAAAGGTTTTATCTTCAGGATGCACTAGTCTCTGTCTAAGGGTCTTGTTAGGTTTGAAATGTTCTGGGATTTTGTATTTGGAGAAAATCCTCTTGGGTTTTTTAGAAACTCTAGCAACATGTGGGATGGCAATGTTTTTGTGTTTAATCTTCATTCCTTCATTCTTCATGTTCTGCTGGGTGTCTTTTGGATTTCCTTGCTGATTTTATGTTCAGCTGAGCTTTAGGACCTCTGCTCTCTCTCTGTGTTCCTGCAGTGAAGGCCACACAGGAGGCATGACAGATGAGAAATGTCCCCAGCTGGTGGACTACTTTGTGGTGGCGGGTCTGGACCCTGCTGGACCCTGGAAGTCCCTGGACGAAGACGGCCGGACCTCCTCCTTCCCTCCCTCCTCGTCTTCGGTGTCGGTCCGGGCAGGAGAGCCGGTGACGGACCTGGTGGTCATCGCTCGGGGTCTCGGGGAGGAAGTACCAGAAGGTTTCACCTGCATCGAGAAGACCCTGGGGGGTCACTCTGCTGAGCTGAGCGCCGGCCTCATCAACAACCCGCACCTGTACCTGTGCTACCGGAGAGGGCGGGACAAACCGCCCATACTGGACCTGGGGTGAGTAACTGTTTGATCGGTTCTGGTTCTGCAAGAATGTCCGTAGGAGAACAGTAACTTTGTACTGTCTTCAGACGGGACTGACCCCCCAGAATGGACTTGGTTTGTTTATGTTCTTAGATCCTCCTCAGACTAATAACTAGATGGTTTTGGTCTATCTTCTGACGGGTTTTGGATCTTTGGTCGTCCGTCTAGGCTCCTCTTACAACAGCTTATCAGCCCATTGAGACCTCACAAGTAAAAAGGTCCTGCCCAGATGAAGAACAGAACAGCAGTGCTTGGTTCTTGGAGTCCAAAGACACAGAACCTGTTTCTCTGTCGTTCTCAAAGGCCCGAATCCGAATTTGCTTCTTTGGTTTAACTGATGCTAGAAGCGATACAATTAAAACAGGATAATAGTTTTTACACTAGTTGTAGTATTAATTAGTCTACAAAGTTAGGTAATTGGGGTCAGGTGTAGCACAGATAAAGACCCTTAATGTGTTCTAACTATCTAGCGCTGTTATCTGTCCCTGCAGGGTTCTATATGAGGGGAAGGAGCAGCTGAAACAGGGATGGTACGTCATCGAGACCACGCCCTACAGTCGCTCAGCCAGCCTGAGCTCTGGTGGCGCTCCCACGGCCCACCGGGTCTTCCTGACCTACCGCCGGGCTCTGGACTCACAGGGTCTGGATACGCTGGGAGTCACTGACATCGCCCTGCTGATGCCTAGCAAGGGGGAGGTGGCACCGCACACCTTCTGTCGGGTTGACAAGAACCTCAACACTGGCATGGTGAGTAAGGGGGTGAGGTGGATGATGATCCAGTGAATCCATGAGGGTCTGGATGGAAAGTCTGTTTAAAACTGATCTATCTCTATAGTTTTGCTGCTATAGGCTTAGACTGCTGGAGG